TTAATATTGTGGAGGAAATACTTAATTTTCAAATGTTAATTTGAATCACATTCAAATATTTTCCCCTAAACAGTTAATGGAAAAAAGTAGAAAAAACTCCTGATCTTTTAGATTTGGACTTATTTTAAGTGATAGCTATTGAAATCTCTCAGTATGTGAAAGCATCTCAGGGGTGCCTGTATAAAAACTGAAATAATCAATAATGCATCTGACAGCATGGTACTACAACTATTTAAAACATACATCTTGCTAGCGAGCATAGTACAATGTGTCTTTGTAACTTAAATCTAATTTCTATGTTTTATAGTCTACAGCATACTATGGTTTGACCAGACACTTCATAAACCAGTACCACTACAGATGCTAATTCCTCCTCGGTGAAAGCAAAAAGCAGAAATTTTGCCATTTATGTTTAGTGTAAGATAGATGGCAGTGAGCACAGTGCACTGAGATAAATTGGTAAAAAGGGCCTGCTTTGAGCTGTGTGCTCCTAATCTGTGCTAACAAGACCAATTCTCTGCCATAAGGATAAGTTAGGGAGAGTGAAACTGTCTCTGTATATTGTCATATTCTGCCACTTTAAACAGAATACAACAATTAGGCCTGTGGAGAACCAGCCACAGGAAGTGATGATTAATTCCAGTTAATTGAAATTGCCCCACATCAGCACATGTATTACTTCTAATGTTATGTATTTTTTCCAAGGTAGACAACCTGTCACACCCACACACTTCACTGACACACAGCATTCAGTTAGATGAAAAAAAAAAAAAACCAAAACAGAGTGGACCTAATGAAAGGAAATCACACCATTTATGGAGCCGTTTCTTACCACGGGAAATAAAACAATATACTCCAGGTTCATTTCTCTGTTCCTACCCACTTCAGGGATTAGTTTTGCTTTGTGGGGAGAGGCTACTTAAGAGTCAGAAAACAACATTGTCATGGCTCTTCAGCAGTTACACAATCTCTTCACCCCAGAGATTCTTCTGTGTTGCTGCCTCCACCTCCACTGTTCGACTGCACAGTGAATCATTTTGTTTTCCCTCAGTGTGAGAGAGAATAAAGAGATGTCCCCTGTTCAGTGACAACAGAAATCACATTGAAAGTAACCACAGGGTGCCACGTACTCTGTTTCTAAAAAGATATGTACTAGGAGTATTTCCAGATATTATATATTAGAAAAGATTTAGATGAGCACAGGAAATAGATCATTCTCCAATAGATACAGCTAAGTTTTAAACTAAAATGTTTTCTTCTTCTTTGGTGTGTTTTGGAGAGGAAGGAAGATGGAAGGAAAGGAAATGGAATTATACTGGGTTGTTGTTTTATTTTATGTAAACACCCACATAACATCTTGCATGCCTTACCACAAATGTCTGTTAAGGTCAAGAAAATGGTGCATTTCAGGAAGAGCAGAAGTAGTACACAGATAAGACCATGCGTAGTTGGGAGAATTATATCCTCTTCCAAGAAAGGAAGAATGGTCTGTATTCTGGCATGAATACAAAACCTAGCATCTGCTGTTTATAGCCTATTTTAATTGTGTTTATGAATAGATCTATTACGTATATGTAAATAACAAGTGCTCCCTCTAGTGAACTTTTGTGAGATTCAGTGTTGTAACTACTGAAGATAGAGATGAAAAAGTTTATAGGCAGAAGTGATATCTTCTATTAGACTATCTGTTGAAGTCAGAAAAAAGGTACAAGCTTTTAGACATGCTAGATGGTTTTTAAGGTCGGTAGCGCAACGCATTTGTCAGAGTTGGGGAGAGACAATGTCATACAGTAAAAACCAGATTTACATACACTGTTGCACTTGGATACTGTCCCTTACTGATGTTTACTTTGCCTGTTCTTCCTCTTCGTGGTAGGTGTGATACCCTGGCTTTACTGACCTTCACTTCAGACTCTGAAACCTGAAGGCAGACATTTCATTTACTCATTTAGGTATCTCATGACAGTGAAAAAATAATAATAAAAATTATGCATTTGCCCAATGCAGAGGACTGCGTTTGAGCAGAGACACTGTTTACCCTTGCCACACTGCAGTACTGATGCTTGATTACATCTTTTATAAATTACGTACATTATCACTACTTCTTGCCCATATGTTTTACAAAATTATTAAATGTAATGCTTGTAACAGTTCTTTTGAGTATATCAGAAAACAGTCTAGGAAAGCTGTCACAGTTGTGGCTGATGTCATGGCATGAGTAACCTCAGTTCTGGCATTTTGTAACTTTTCAGAGCATCGATTTACTCTTTTAGTTTAAAATACAGAATATTTATTTCTGGCACAGTCTCGGGGGGTGGGGCTGTCATTACGCACAGGATTCAAAATGTTTGCCATACACAGTGTCTCACTGCGCTACTACTGAAACTGTCTGGAACGTAACTAGATCTGCTCTGTGCGCGCCCAAGTGCAAGTTTGTAGGAGAAGGTGTGACATACTATGCAGGGGCTGTCAGGCTACAAAGCACAAACTACTTCAAACTTTTGTATAGTAGCAGTAGTTCCCAATTCTGCCTTTACACTAGTACTTAACCATAAAAGAAACAGAGTAGGACCAGCAGCTACCAGCACCTGCAATGTGAAATAGCACCTCTGCACAACAGCTGTGGTCTCACTGCAGCTGCTGGATTGATGGTGACCTCCTGCCCTGTTTCCACTGATGTTTCAAACTTATTAAGTCCACACAATGGTTAGCACCAGCCTGCCGCCGAAGGTTACTGCAGTCTCGGTTTTTCAAGTGGTGGGAGTTTATCCAAGGTCGGACCTGGTGCCTGTTTTAAAATGCTGGAGCAGGGGCAGGAAGGTGCTGTAGTGGGCGAGTCACTGGATGGGGGCAGGAGGTTGGCAGCAGCAGCAGGAGCAGCTCGTGGGCTAGGGATGAGCAGCAGGAAACTGAGAGAGGTAGGCTGGGGCATGCAACTACAGTCCCGGTGTTGAAACTGGGGTTCTCTGAGAACACGGGAGCACCTATCTGGAGGGCGGTGGCGCAGGGAATGGAGGCAGGCCTTCTCCTGTGCATGTGTGGCAATTTCTGCATCCTCCACTTGCAGCGAACCCAAGTGTGAGGAATCCACCGATGGTAAAGCTACAGTGAGAAGCTCTGATGTGTTATCTGCAAAGTAGTGTAAGACCATTTAAGAACTGTACTTGAGGATCTGCTGGCCTATCAAATACTTTGCCTCATTTGTACAGTGGGCAAAGCAGACATGAAAAGCGAACAAGCACAAAATGGACAACTGCCTCCTGTTCCCACTACTGCAACTTAAATCCTATTTTTTCACAGCTGTAAACTGAGGACCAGTGCAGGATCAGAGCACATTCAAGAGGTGTGCTTTGGTATGCCTTGAATATTTATTGGTTAACGATTATGTAAAGACACATCAATACTTTCCATATTTCCATTTCTTCTGCCCATGAAGTTGGGGAGAAGAAAGGGAGATCTTTTCCTATTCAGGTGCCAATTGATTAAACAATTCCTGGATATTGAGAACACCAAGAATACCATCCTGTTAAAGACTCGGAGCTCTGAATTCATGTGTCTGCATGCAGATGGCTACTTGTAAAACAGAAACAGGATTCAGCTTCCTGGCATAGGGGCTTAGAGTCTATCGAGATGCGCTAGGGTATTGGAGATAGCTAAGGTGCAGTAGGTTCAACCCAGGATTTGAGAAGACTCACACCCACCTAATGCAGCAGCTGAAAACCAAGCGGGACCCAGACCCCACAGCTCCTAAGATGACACCGAAGGCTCAATTCAGTTGTCTAACTCACATGCCTACTGCCATTTGGGATGCTGTAGGGTATTCAGCATAACCTGCAGCTGACAGTGTAGTCAGGTTTCCTGTAGGTCATGTGGCGTATTTTCCAGACCCATGTATGTAGCTGGGGTATCTTACAGCATCTCAAATGGAATCATAGAATGTCCCGAGTTGGAAGGGACCCACAAGGATCATCAAGTCCAACTCCCGTCCCTGCATACGACAACCCCAAAAATCACACCATATGTCTGAGGGCATTGTCCAAATGCTTCTTGAATGTTGACTCAAATAGCCCTAGTCACTCATGTTTATGCAACTAAATTACATCTTGTTGACTTGTGCCGTTCTTTCATAAATACTGAGTCTGGGTTTGTTTTCAAAGAAAGCACAGACTGTTGGAAATGTGCGGTAAGCACCCAGTTGGAGGCTACCTTCCTTGGCCGTTGATGACCCCAGACACCCCAGCCGTGTTCTCCACTCGCCAGGGTGGCTTTCGGCAGGGTTTCTGTGCCCTCATGCCCCAGGCTGTTAGAAGGAAATGGTGAAAATTACCTTATTGGGAAACACACCTGTTGGTACATGCTGGGTGTATGCACACTAACCGCAGCGTACACGGTATGTCTTTGTGGGAAAGCAAGAAACAAGAGCCCGGGTGCCACCAAGAAGTAGGTAGCAGCCGTTTTAATTTTAGGCCCCCACTCTCCCGCCTCGCCGCCAGGCGCCGCCCTCACGCCGCTGCCATAGAGAGGCCTACCATAGAGAGCGCGCCCGCCCCCTTGCCGGCCG